AAAAATATGGAAATTTTGTTATCAAAATGGGATGATGTGTTGATAGAGTATTCTGATGTTGATTGGTGTGGTGACAAGAGTGATAGAAAGAGCCCGGTTGGGTATACGTTCTTCCTTGGAGAGGCACAAATTTCTTGAAGCTCTATAAAGGAATCAATGGTGCTCTCTCTATCTTATGAGATTGAGTATATAGCTGCCTCTGAAGCAGTTTGTCAAGCAATTTGGCTAAGTTCACCGATAAAGGAATTGAAGGTAAAATAAACATGTAAATTGAAGTTGTTGATTGATAACAAATCTGTAATAGATCTTGTTAAGCATTATGCCTCTTATGCTAGAAGCAAACATATTGAGATCAGATTTTACTTCATCCATGAATAAATTTCAAATGAAAAATTGAATGTTAAGCATTGTAAACCTAAAATACAACTTGTTGATATTTTGACAAAATCTTTAAAATTTAAAAGGTTTAAAAGTCTTATAGAGCAAGTTGATGTTATTGATATGTCATTTTTACTTGAGAAAGAGTGTTAATAACTAGTCAAATAAACAAGTTACTTAATTCTATTTCTTTTAAAAAATTTCCTATACATTATTATTATTATTATTATTATTATTATTATTATTATTATTATTATTATTATTATTATTATTATTATTATTATATTCATAAAATATATAGTTGTAAAATACATCCTACATTGGAATTAACAATAATATTATTTAACTCAATTTAATTTTAAAATTGTTCTTCACTCTAAAAAAATTAAATACATCAACGCGACTATATAAGTTATTTGAGGATTTTTTTAATAATAATAATAAAAACACATCTCGAATCAGGTAGGAGACTCTCAACTAAAAAGGAAAAAAGTATCAAGACTTGAGAAAAAAAGACTCTGATATAGTCACTACAAGAAAATCGCGTATTACAGACGGATTTGTAGTCGTCGAAAAATAATCATTACAGACTGGATATAAAATATTTTTAAAATTTGATGTTACCGACGGAAATATCCGTCAGTAAAATAATAATTAGTTACAGACGGATATATCCGTCGATAAATCCGTCGGTAATTTATAAATGAATTTACTGACGGATATATCCGTCTGGTAAATCCGTCAGTAAATTAACAATTAATTATCGACGGATATATCCGGTCGGTAAATTCATCTGTAAATTAATAATTATTTACCGACGGATATATCCGTCGGTAAAATTAGATAATATAATTTAATTATTCACCTAATTAAAAAATAAAATATTTTGATTTAATAATTTAATTTAATCATAATTAGATTAATTTATAATAATTTATTAAATTAAATAATTTTAAAAAATAAATATTTAATTATATATAAATATATAAATTTATAAATATATAAATATATAAATTTATAAATTTATAAATATATAAATATATATATATAATATATAAATATATAAATATATAAATATATAAATATATAAATATATAAATATATTTGTTTATAAATATAATTTATTTGTAAATTGTTATCAAGAAATTCTAGTAGCTTAGTGATTGGAGTATCGACCTACACTCTAAGGTACTGGGTTGAATCCTGCAAATGACATTTCTCTTAAACTGATAATAATTCAAAGCTATGAAAGTATAATATGAAGAAATAATTAATAATAAATAATAAGAATATAAAGTGGATGGGGTTCTATAAATAAGTAAAATATTTAATAAATAATAAAATTATTACCGACGGATTCCAGTCCGTCGAGTAATTTTGTAACACATTTACCGACGAATTTTGACCGTCGGTAATTTTAATATTTTTTTGTAGTGAGTAAGAATGAACTTGCTTAATTCTTATGAGCATAATTTATATAATAAGTTTTTATTGATTGTGAATACATAGATTATTCTCTTCCCTGTAATTTAATCATTTAGTGGTTATGCATTCTAAGTTAAATACTTTTACGATATCAATAAAGAAATATTCTTAAAATGACTCTTAACGTAATTATTCAAAAAATCAACAAATTGATGGGATATATTTTTTTTAACATTTTTTTTATAAAAGTTTAAATATTATGCATTTTATACTATTTGTAACCATGGTTTTTAAATTGATGGAAAGTTTCAATAGTAAAAAAAAATAATGATATGAATTAGAATAGATCATTTTTAATATATTAAAAAGATAATTATATAAATTAAAATAAATGTTTTTATTCTGATTTATTTAATATATGACCTAAATTGATTAATGTTGGATTAAGCTAAAAAATTATGTTTAATTCTTTTTATAAAAAATTATTTTAAAAATATAAGATAATATTTTTTAAAAATATATATAATAATTTAATAAAAAATTAAAATATATAATTTATATAAAATGAAAACGGATTTATTAATATATTTTAATTTATTTTTCATAAAAAATAGACAAAAGAATCTATATAATTTATTTAAATTAGTTATTTTAGAAGTTTTATTATGTTTCAATTTTTAAAACAATATTTTTAAAATAAAGAATAAAACTATTAGATTATTATTTTAATTTAGATCATTAAAGATTGAAATATGATTAATACTTCATATATTTTTATTCTATACATTAATAAAATATTAAAAGAAGTTTTTTCATATCATAAATGTTTTACCTATAGAAAAGCATATTCAAAATCGCAAAAACCAACATCAATCAATGAAAAAAATTCTTATTTAACATGACTTTTAAGGTTAAATGAAAATCCTTGTCAACAACAGATAAAGTGTTGAAAAAACATTAGAAAGGTTAGCTTTCCTCATTAATAATTTGTACTTAAAATTTAATTATTTTTTGTTTTCATTCAATTAAATTAAATCAAATTGCTTAAAATTTACTTGAATAAGATAATTTATTTTATTATATTAAAATTAAAAAAAAATATGGACACTTTGAAAGTAAAACATTAAGTCAATCTAAATAATTAATATTTAAAAAAATAATATTTAATAATTTAAAAATATGAATACCGACCCTTTTTCATCATTATTAATACGAGAAGATCGGTAGAATAAAAAAGGGAAAATAAGAAGAAAAATATATATACGCCTGAAATTTTCAAAATTCCCTTTTTTAAGAAAATTAAAATTCTATAATTTTAACTAATTAAAATAATTTCATAAATTAATATATAAATATTTTAAATTTTCTAAAAAAAATAATAATTACCCTCTTAGTGTTTATCATCCTCCTTCACATAGGATCAAGTTAATTGTTGTAACAAACCAAATTATTAACCGCATTGTTTTTAAATTGTTCCATAGTGTAAAACTATTTTACATTATTATTACATAAACTATTTCTCTAAAGAGAAAATACATTGTCACTGAAAAAGTACATTGACAATAAATAAAATAAAAAATACATCAATAATTAACCATGTAAAGCTGTTTTACACTCTTCATGTATAATAGTGAAACAAAATGACACCTTTCGAAAACAAAATTCAGATTTTACATTGATTTCAAGAAAACATAGACATAAAGATCAACGGCAACAACTATCTACCTCTCCTAACAAAACCACAAAGCTCGCATCACAAAAGCCTTTTTTTTTCATATGCATAATTAAAAATCAAATTCTCATTACCACAATTACTGAATTATCTTAATTCATAGTTTTAAGCATGGGGTTTCCTTTCTTCAAATTCACTTTTCAAACTCTAATAGAAGTTACTGTGCTAAAATTAAGTTTGAGAATTATATTTAATAAAAACAATTATGCTTACAGTCCGTTTATAATGCATTTAACTTCAAAGTTTGATGAAGTCCTAGGACATTTGCACAAATGGCCAAGTCATTTAAGTGTAGTAATTTCCATTAAAAGCTAAAATAAAAGTAGAACAGATGACAAAATGCGTAGATACCTCTATGCATTTGTTACACATTTTTTAAGTATCATGACTAAAATGTACACAGTATCCAAGTTTTCTACATATAAACGTCTCTTCTAACCAAAATGTAAACTTGGGCTTGCCACATCCAAACCTCTTTTTACTAAACCCAGCCCAAATTGTTAATAATCTAATAGTGCAAAATAATCTCTCATAATAATTGCTTGATAGATAAATATAGAAACAGTCTAAATTAAGGTCATTATTATGGGATTTGAATAATCTGTTATTATTGAAATGAATAGAAAGGGAATAAGGAATCTCACATTATCTCTTTCTTTTTACCTCTAATTGTTGATGAATGGTGATTCAAATCCCAGTATTATTTTCTTCAGTTGAATTATAATAACAGTGATTAAGCTAACTGCGACCAACTTAATTCTTCCACACAACTACAGTCAAAATTTGTTATAAAATAATATAATTTTAATTAAAAGAATCGGAAGTTAAAATCATAAATCTCCTCCTTAAAATGCGGAACGAGTGAGCGATCCCTTCCAAAGGTCCCATAAGGGAAAAAAAATAAAAAACATCATTGTTTAACCATTCACAAGCAGCGACATGATATCACGCTTTTAAATTCAAGAAAAAAAAAATCAAAATACGAAGTTTCTACCATAATATAACAATTATCTATTTTCACTCTTTTATGAGGTACAAGTCTCATGCATTATGCAATGCCAAAAGAAGAGGAAGCATTTATTTGATGAGCAAACATTTCAACTTCTCTGAAGTGATAGGATCCTACACACTACAAAGCCTCCAAATGCATCTATTGCATCATTCTTCCCATTGTGTCACACAAGCAACACAATTGTGAAATTTCCAAAACAATCCTCTCTACAGAAAATGTTTCACATCCATCATAATAATTAACAGCCCAACCCATTAGGGCAATATAGTCTATATACTATGTGTATAGTCACCTAAGAACTAATTAATTCAATGTCAAACATAACTTTTAAGTTTTAAGGTATACCTGGTATTGCCTTAACGTATACCCTCTGCACGTGATCATTATCTTTTTTTATGCACAATTCTTCTCTTACTTTCCAAGACAAAGAACAAACTGAACGGCCTCCAGAAATTAGGCGCAGTCGTCGCCAGAATTTTTTGCCGGCCGGGAAATTGGTCCTGCCGGCGACCGAAACCCTACCGTCACCGTATCAAAAACGCACAAGTGAAAATCATCCTCGATTCCTGTCGTCTTCGCCTTCAAACACTCCTCGCACACGGCGGAGGAGGCGGCAATTGGAACGGTGTTAACTGATTCTGTTCCGATGGCGGCGCCGTGGATTGCGGCGCCCATATTCATCCGAAAAAAGTCTCTCTCCATCTGAAAATTCATCAATCTTTGCTCGTAGTCCGCACGATCAAAAATCGGCGCCACGAACGGCGACCTGAACGACGGATCTCCGGCATCGGCGCGGCGGAGGAGCATGACCTTCTCTGGCGGCTTCCTCTTTGCATTCGCAGACGCCTTCTTAGAGCGCTTGGAGCGCTTGACAAAGAAGTAGTGTGCCGCGGCGTCGCGGCGCACGGCGGCGAGGTTGACCTTGGCGGTTACGGGAATTTTCCGGTCGGTATCGACAGCCGCAAGGTAAACAGAGAACTGGTGCGGCGAGATCCCGATCCTCTGGCTTAGGAGCGAGAGCAAACTCTTAAAGTTAAGTGAGGGGTCCACCACCACAGTGCCGACGTTGATCTCACGGTTGCCGTCGGAGTATACGACGGGGAGCGACGCGGTTCCTCCCTCTATCATCTTTCCTGTAAATGGGTGGTGATGTTTTTGAAAAGGCGGGTTTGTCTTTGGAGGTTTGCGTGGTGAACAGGATGGAAGGGTTTACACCACTTTATGTACAGATCAGAGAAAGGTGGTGCGGTGTTGTGTTGTGCAATATGAGGTTTTAGGTGTGTTTTGAAAATATAGAGAGGCGGTTAGGGCTATTTCCGCAATATCACTTCTACCATATTTTCATCACTTCAATTTCTAATCTCACCCAATAATAATAATAATAATAATAATAATAATAATAAGTTATCTTATTTTAAAAACTATCCAATAAAAAAATATCAAAAATAAATTTATATGTTTTCAAAATAATAATCATCCTATAAAATATATTAATCTTTCAGTAGTTTATATAATAAATTTAATTAAATATATGTGTGAAAATTATTTAATGTGGTATTTGAATAGAGTATATTGCAAATTAATTGTTGTAGATTGTGTACTAATATAACCGAATATATAGCCATTAAGGGTAAATAGGAGTGAAAAGTCCAGAGAATTCTTGGGGTTGATGCGCGGATCCTAACGTGTGTGACTTGGGGACCAAGTAAGGTTCAAACGATTCGTTTTGGGATCCTATGAAATAACCTTTTGGTTCGTTTTTTATCTGGTAAGAAAAAACACGCTGGGGCTGTTCCAGATCGTCATTGATTCGAGAATGCTTGATTTCGAGGTCATTTTTAAAATAAAAATAAAAAAGTTTTTCTAAAAAAGTGATTTTTGAAATAAAATAAGCTGGAACTGGGAAATGTGAGTTTCAGAAGCAACCTTATTATTTATTGAACTAATTTCCACACCAAAAAATATTTTTTTATAAAATTGGTGATATAAATTCATAATACATATAATATATATTTGTAATTATTCCTTTTTTTTCTCAAATTATAAAGAATAAAATTTAGGTCTGTTATTAAAATAATATATATATAAAAAGAGAGATTCTCTGATAATTTAATTTAATTAAAACAAAATATTGTTCATAAAACATTAATATAAAATTATTATTCTCAATATATTTAAAGCAAATTAATAAAAAGTAAATGTTTGATGTATAAATATTTTATTTATAGAAAACAATAAATACATTATTTAAATTAAATTATTTCCAATAATAATATAATTATCTTGTTTTAAAATACATTATTGTTTTATTATTCTAATTAATAGTATGATTACGTTGAATGATTTCTATTTATTTATGAGATCAACTAATAATTTTTTTATAGATTTTTTTTTTAACTTTAAACCGTCAACTCAACCTAACTTATCATTAATTTTTATTTTTATTTTTAAATTAAGTTTATTTAATTTATAATTTGTGTATGAGTTGATTATTGAATAGACCTGTTTTATTGTTTAATTTTATTTTTAAAGGTTGTGTTTCACAAAAAAAAATTCATGGAATTTTTATTGGTTTTATGACGGTGTCCACATGACTCTAATAATTTAATAGATCAGATAAATAAAGATAAAGATAAAGAAAATAGTAAATGAAAATAAATAAAAAATAATATATATTAACAGAATTAGAAATTAAATATATAATTATCAATATATTAAAATGTTAATAATTGATTATTACCTTTCAAAACTGATTTTGCTGAGTTAATAACAATTATAATAAATTAAATGAAATAATTTTCGGTTCAAAGGAACTATTTCTTTATATATATATATATATATATATATATATATATATATATATATATATATATATATATATATAATCAAGATAAATGGTATAATATAATCTTAGTATCAAATTTTAATTTGATGTTTATTCATACTTAAATTTTTATACGTCCAAAATATAGTTTGAATTTGAATGTTTTTGTTTTTTATATTCTTAAATTGATTTCGAAAATATAAATATATTTTTAATTTTATTATTCATTATTAGTTGAGTAGTGTGTTTTTTATTTGACGTACATTTAATATATTTATAATTTAATCTTATAAAAACTAAATTAAAAATATAGTATAGCTTAAACCAAGCAATAATATTTTAATAGAGTAACTTGTAACATATATTAAATAAATAAAAAATTATACGTATAAAATCGATTTAATAATTTTTCAGATAAAAACGTTCGTCTGTGAACAAGATTAATTATACTACTAAATGAGTTAATTTTTATCAGGCAAAAACCTCATAGTATTTAATTGCTTACACGATAAGTCATAAGTTATTAAATAAAACAAAAAAAACAAAATTAGGTGTTATTTAATTTCCTAGATGACATTAATTATTAAATAAAAAGAAATAAAATAAGTTTTTTTTAGTTAAATTTAAATTTACTTACTTTTCCCACAAACTTGTCAAATTATCTGATGAATATTATATTTATTTTGTATTATAATATTTAATATGCTCCAAATGATAATTTTACACATCTACTTTTATTGAAAACGAAAAATGCAATATTCAAACCGTTTTAAAAAAATAATAATTACCTAAATATTATCACTTCCACCTTATTTATGAAAACAACACATCTTACTAAGCAGTTTCTGATTTTTTATTAGGTTGATAAATTAGTTATAATTTCTTTTTTAAAAATGGCTATTTTGTTTTACAATTTTTTTTGTTTCAAATTGATTTTATTTTATTTTATCACCCTCGCATTAATATAGATAATTAAATTATTTGGTTTCAAGGTTGTTGATGAAAAGAGTACGAAAATATAAAAACGACCCACATGTGCTTAAACAATTTAATCTCAAACAAAATGACATTTGATTTTGATGTGCTTTTTAGGTTAACAGAATACATGACACAATAAGCGAGATGTGGTTAGAGAGAATTGTTTTCAACCATTTTAATCATAAGAAATGTCAATAATGAGCAATTTTAACTCATAAGTGATGTTAAAAATAAGATTTAAAAGTATATATTCTCAAACTACAACGTCTTAAAATATATTTTTTTAATTTGGGAATAAAATAAAGTCCCATTAAAATAAAACCAATGAAAAAAACCTTGTTAGTAAAATCCTTATTAATTTGACTAAAAATATGATCTAATAGTGATTATTATAAAAGAAACTAAAAATCAAGATTTGTCAAGAGTTAATGGGATCAATTAGATATATTGTTACCTGTATTGAAAAATCAATTAAAAATACATTTGAATCAAAATTCTAGATATCATCTAAAAAAGATGAATAACGTTATTTTTTTAAAAGGTTATAAATCCGGAAGACGAACAGATAACGATTACTAGAAAACAAAAAAAAACACGGAGGACCAAAACATATTGTGTAAAAATTGAAATAAACAATAATTAAAAAAATATTACAATAATAAAAAAATTACAATATTATTATTTTAAAAAATTACTACTTCGAAAAACATCAGGATACTTTATTTTTTTGCTAAAATAAAATATAGTATTCTTTGCCTATAAAAATAACTAAAATAACATTAATTTGATCAATGATACAAAAGTTTTTTTAATGTGAATTTTTCATTGACCTCGTACATTAACTTAGGCAATGAAAAATATGTTGAAATTACAACGAAATAAGAAAGAAAGAAAATTCAAGATATTTTTTGGGTACTGTTTCTGGTGGAATTTCGATCGATTTCGATTCTAACAAGTGTTATGGTCCTAATCAAAATCCTCCCACGTAAGTTCTTTTTACATAGGCTAGCAGTCTGACTTTCAATCTAAAAAGTGTATGAGAATCGAGAGTTACAAAATATCAAAGTGCTATTTTTTAGTATTTTTTATTTAAAATACCGAAAGCAGTAAGAGTATCGAATCGAGAAACAGAATATTAAATTGCGAGGGAGTGTAAAGTGCGAAAACCCCAAATTTGCATTAATTGTAAATGACAAGAAATCGAAAATAGCGCAAATATAAATGACAAGAAATCGAGATTACAAGAAAAGTAAATGACAGGGAAACTTAAATGCAGAAATTTAAACTTTCATTGAATTGAAATGACAAGGAATCGAACATACAGAAATATAAAACTGCTGAATTTAAGTTGCATTAAAGTAAATTACCAAGGAAAATACAGAAAGCGGTAAATGTACTCAGTGAGCAAGGAAATCCAGATTGCCAGAAGCTTCATGGTGTTCGTCGTTTCTCCGGTAGACTTTTCACTACTGATTCTGTTCTCTGCCAATTTCCCCCCCTTGTTCCTTCCTCCTTTGCTCTATTTATAGGGCATTGTTCAAACCTTCCAAGAGCAGTTAACACGACTGCTACCACGTTCTACGTGCATATGGCAGTTTATCTTCTATAGTTTCCCACGTTCTCACGATCTCCGACTTTTTTTTTTTTTTTTTTTTCATGGTTTCGAAACCGTTCTCTATACGTGCATTTGACTTCCTTTCACGATTTGACCAAAGTCTCAATGTCCACATTGGCTTTCTTTACTCTCGATTCTGTATTTTTCGAGAACTTCAAATTGCTTATGATTCCTTTTTAAACCCTGGCGATATATGACTTAGTTTTTATTCGACAACAGGTATTTGGTTATCATTCACTCGATTCTCGATTGTGCTTCTCGATGCTATATGCTACGTACTTCTAATTAGACATCAAATGAATTTTTGTTTATCTTATCGAGTCACATCTTCGATCGCTTTTCTCGATTTGCCACTAACAGGTACCAAAATTATATTATGAAAACGTGTGAGTATTAAACACTCTTTGATTTATTAAAAAAGATCCTGTTTTCATCATATTAAATGTACTTGAAAATAACAAATCAGCTGCTGAAATAGCAGATATTTTGGAAATCAGAATGATGTTGTGTTCACAAACCTATTTTGTCCTTTTGGTACAATGCTCTTCAAATTTATTCACATGACCAAGATAGCAGAAACGTTAATGAATGAACAAATAACAAGCATTTTCACTGATCACAGTTCATTATCTACAACCATTGAATCTTAAATATCAAAGTTGAAAATACAAAACATACACATGAAAAAGTCTTAAATCCACAACAACACCA